TGCACATAGGACCAATAAGCATAAATAGCAGCAAGGATCAGCGGAAGCAGTATCAATGTCCACATATTCGAGCCGTTTTACAACAATTGCGCGTAATTGAGTTGTTTTTGTACTGGTGCACTTTTATTTTTGCAAAAAGCTCAATAAGCACAAATGCGGTATTGTCGCCGCTACTTGTTGTTGTTGTATTATCCTAAACACAGCGCTTAGCTTTTAAGCAACGTTTTTGCCGTTATAAAGCGTCTCAGAACCGACTTATATTGCGTTCAACGCAAAACTGATATGCCAGCCGTTTTGAAGTGAATAAAAATATCATTTGATTTCCATTGCACTTTTCCTGTTCAAATGCTGTTTAATAACGCTCTTTCTTACTAGTACGAGTCAAATGCAAGTTATTGTAAATGGGTAAGTAATTCTCATTTTGTTTTTTTAGTGAGTGCCAACATCATATATGTATGTATAAGCCACTCATAAGCTTCTGCATGTTGATAATTATACACTATCATCTCATTATAGGTCTCACAGATTAGCTGCTGTGCGCCGTTGGACATAATCGTTCACGCAAACAAACACACCTAAGTGGTTAGCAATTAAAAGTAAATAGGCAAATCAGAATTTTTTTTTTCAAAAAAATTTCAAAGTTTTTTTTTTCAAGTGATTAAGAAAGCTACTGTGGCATGCATAAGAACTGTGGAAATGTTAAAAAGGTGGCCTAGAGTTCTCGATTAAATTAATAGGCTTTATAAAACATCTCTATAACTCCGCAATTTCGTAAAAACCCGACTGTAATAGACAGTTAGTGAGGAATTAGCAGTGTTAGGTTAAAAAGCCGCATTTAATTACACAAATTATTTATTAAGAATTAATTTAGATGTTAATTAGATTATAAAAAAGAAAAATATTTTTAGTGCCACAATGAACATGTGTTAGTCTAGTACACTGTAGTACTGCTGTTAATTCATTTTAACAATAGTAATAGTAATTTTAATCGAAATTAAATCTAAATTTCCGTTTTATATGCACATACATCACCTACACACTCAAACATGTGGCAGCGCTGGTGCAAAGCAATGTTCGCAATGTAAATTCCTTGAATGATGCACAGAAATCGATATGCAAAGATTTATGCGCTAACAAATTGATTGATGATGTCATTGGAGCGATGTTCACTTGTGTAAGGCAAAATCGCATTGTAAATTATTTATTGGTATTAATATGTATTTGTATGTATTTACAACAAAATGATATTATTTTCAGGAAATTCGGGTTATTGATTTGATTAAATGTTTAGCAGCATTCTTAGTGAGCCATTAATAATTTGGGCGACTCGTACGACATGCATTGTCAAACGCTTCTGCTGGCAATGTAGCACATAACCACACACACACACACACAAACGCTTTCATGCAGCTAAGTGAGTAGCGACTGACCGCAGATAAATATGTGTGCGTGGTATACACTCACTAATACATGTTTAGAAATACACACCAGTTGAGGTAATTTGCAGCGGATATGCAAGCACGCCATTAAAAAAAACATTTCCGTTACAACTGTACAACCACATATATGTGCATACGCATGCATGCTATTGATATTAATCGCTAAATAATTGAACACGTGCAATTAGGACCGTTAAATGCGATTATTTGAAAACGTCGATGTATGTGTGTTGTGCTGTTCACAATGCAGGCAATTACTGTGTGCGCTGCATTGGCGAGAGAAATGCATTTTCATCAAATAAAGCATACTTTTAGGCCGTACTTATGCATACATGTGCGTTTATAAAGCCTGCTTAGATGTATGTGTGCGCTTTAGAAATCGATTACTTTCATTATTAATGATTGTAGACCACAAATAACTGCAATTTGAGTTGTTGCTGCGGCAGCGTACACAAATGATTATGATATTTATGTTATGCAGGGGGGTACAGGTTCATGTGGCGGTGCAGTAATTAAGCACATTTACCTTTTAAATATTAATTGTTTTATCAAATTAATTCCAATTACATACTCTTGCACTAAGACAAAGAGCGGAAAATTGTTTTTCTGCCAAAATTTTTTGTTACACGCTGTGTAAAGTTTGACAGCTGGCAACCCAAGTGACAGTTGAAGCGCAATTTGCTAAGAATACGACAGTCTTTGCAGCTTAGTCAATCAATGGCAACATTTGCACTTTAACTCTTAAGATCGAAAACTAAACAGAAAACTCATTCAGAAACTGAATGCATATTTTCTAAATATCTGCGCAGATCTCAATCCTCAGATTTGACCGTGTGCTGCCTTCGTCTAGTATACTTCAAGAGTCGCATACATTAGCTCTCTCTCTGCTGGGTACACGGTAACCCTTTGCTGAGATACGTAGAGCTCATCGGAGAGTTTCCTTGTAAAAAAAAATTGTTAAAAAAAAACAAGTTTTTGTTAATTACTGAAATGCTATGGAAATTATGCCCATTTACACGAAATTATTAAAATATAATTCGACGATAAAAGCATTAAGAGGCAATTAATATTATTGATTATCCAAAATTTAATTCAGATTATAAATTCGTTTTTAAAATGAATATAAATAACCAAAATATTTTTTTTCCCACAAAATCTGCCTTACAAAACTCGTTTTGGGCCATTTTATGAGTTTGACAGTGAATATTTTCGGTCGTTACGGGTTTTGCGCCACTTTGAAGGAACCATGAATTATTTTGCACACTTTTCGTAGCTACAGTTGCTGCCTCTAAGTTTTGAACAGCATTATTCAAACAAAGTCGTTCCGCGTAGATTTTGTTTGTGTGAATGCCTAATGTGTCCTTGGTCCCACAGCAGTTCAAGCAACTTCCAATTTAAATGCATAGATAATTTCAGCCTTCGCTTGAAAGAAGAACGAACGCTTTCTAAGTGCATTCACATGTTAAAACGAAATCAATCTCGTATATAATTACAAAAATTCGGAAGCAAAAAACCAATGAATTTAGCGTGCAAAAAACGAGGCGATAAAACTCAAACGATTCTTTATGTGTGATATTAATTGTTTAGCGTGTATGTTAATTGATTTTTAATGAGAATTTTACATTTAATTGCTTGTAAAAGCGATTAATTTTCCATAAAAATCGCGCTTGCTTTTTGAAAATCGCGCGCACTTTCACTTTCGCACAAAAGCTGTGCCGGCGCGAAAATCGCAGTGAAATTCGTAAGACAAATCGCTTTTTCAAAGTACAATGAGGACGCACACAGCTGCTTAACCAATTTCGATAGCATCTAAATTTAAACCAAGACGCAGTTCGCATGCAACTTGTTTTGAAATTAATGTGACTTTCTGAAGACTGTTAAAGATTGTCAACGGCAACCGCATTCATGTTCTTTCTGCTGCTCTTCGTGCTAGCTGGCTTGGGCAGTTAAAGAAATAGTCAACAACAGCCACACAAAAAATTACAAGATTCACTAACTGCAAATGAGTTGAAATTAATTATACGCAAAACTCAAAGCAAAACGTGAAATTGAGGTGTCACTGGAATTCGTTGACATATGAGTATTGCTACAAAATTAACACTTGAACGACGGCTTGGGTTGATTTTCAGCCAACAGTGCTTAACCCTTGTCTATGAATGCGTACTTATCCATTGCAGATATAAAGAATAGAAATCATAGAAATATGAAAATTTTCACAAATATTCTGATTAAACTCTGAAAACGTTTGGTGTGTTAAGCCCGAAAATTGGTATTAACACTCAGCAATGTATGAAGGTCATCTGAATATAGTAGAGGGAATAAATGGCAACACGCTGCCAGAAAGACCGTGCGAGCTGCAGATCTCAGCTTTGTATATAAATTGTGACCAGAAAGTTTCCGAAAATTGTAAATAAAATGAAAAATGTTTAATCCTGATCAATAATTATTTTGTCGCCTTCAAAATATGTTCCTTCTGAAGCGGTACACATATGCCCCCTCCTTTTCCAATCAAAACATGCCTTCAAGGCGCTGTCCGGGATCGCCTTCTGTTCCCTCTGCGAATTTTCTATAACGGCCTCAATCGAGTCGAAACGGGTTCTACGGAGTGGTAACTTAAGTTTTGGAAACAAAAAAAAAATCGCATGGGGCCAAATCCGGTAAATATGGTGATTAATCGCTGATATTGAACGAGTTTTTGGTATTAAAGCTCGGTGTCTTTTTGCAAAAAACTCAGCTCTTTTGGAACCAGCCGAGCATTGACGCGTCTCATGCTCAAATTAGCTTGAGTGCTATTTCTCTAACACTCGCATAACGATTTTCGAGCACGATTTCCTTCACATTTTTCAGTCAGTGGTAGACGTCGAAGGACGACCGGAACGAGGCACATCTTCGATGGTTTCTTGACCATCCTTAAAGGTTGTGTACCAGTCGTAGACTTGGGTTTTCGATAGAATAGATTCACCATAAGCCTTATCTAACATTCGCAACGATTCCGCACGCGATATTTGGTTCGAAACACAAAATTTTATGCAAATGCTTTTTTCAATATTTTTTTCCATTGTAAAAATCGCAAAACACTGCTGAGGTCGACTGATTTCAACAGCTGCTGCAAACAAACTGATTGACAGATCGCGCTCATTTTTGGCATAGTAATTAAGAACAGTGTTACCAACTTAACAAAAAAAAGTGCTAAAAAATATTTAGCGCGGGCAGTTTAAATGACAATTTCCGGAAACTTTCTTGTGTTTCGTTTCCTTAACGTCGGTGTGTTGACATAAAGACTATAACAATTTCTGTTCGAAAAATATTTTTTTAATTTCGAAACCAATTTCGACTATTCTTACATTCGTCTGATACGTGTTAACCAATCAAATCGGAGTTCGCATATAAGGTTCAAGCAACCCACCTTGCTCCTGCAAGGGTTAATAGCCGCGCCTAAGCTGCTTTATGTGCTATCAATGAAACGAGATGACATTTTTTTGTCCGATAAAAAATATTCTGTAATACTGATACGATTGCTCGAGCACGAGCTACAATTTGTGCACTCGAATGTACGCATAAACCCATCATTTCGAAATTTATTTAAAATTTTATTAATATTTTCCGCGTTATCGACCTCAAACACCTTCTTCTTGCACTTCAGATCTGCAATTTTTATAACAACAACAATAACTGGTTAGTTTTGTAAGTTTTTTGCTTCTCAAGACGGAAAAATCGACTCTTTTGCATTCTGTATTAGGTCGGCTCCATACACACACACACACACATATATATATATATATATACATGTGCACACATTTACAGCAAAAGCCGTGCTGTCGTCTCTAAATCGCAGTATAAAAGCGAAAGCATCATTGTTTGAAGGCTTTAGTAGACACATCAAACAAACGCCGAGCACAATAACAACGTCAAACATATCAGCAAGCCAACGAGTGAACACACAGCACCGCAAAATGCAGGGATATACCAGATTGGTGATTATTACAGAACAAACTTTAATTTAAGGGGTGACAGTTAATCAGTAGCATGACACAATTTCGATTTACAGTTAACTTTGGCGCTGCCGCTGTTGATGCTGGCAGGTGCAGTCACGTGTGCTGGACTTAGATCCAGTCAGAAGGCAAACGTCGCCAAAGGCAGCGAGAATGACGGTTCCTATGCGGCGGATTTAAGTGGTAGTTATGTGGCTGACAGTTCAGGACAGTATGTGGCAGACAATGCGGGTGCTTATCATAGCACCGGTTTGGAGGGGAAGTGGTTGCCCGATAGCCTGGGTGTTTATCACGACGACCTGACGTGGCGCTACGTAGCGGATGCTAGCGGTGCCTGGGCACCAGACAACAGTGGCAGTTATGATCCGACGCTAGGTAAGTGATAGCAAACGGCGCAAGTTTCCGTTTAAAGTGGCTATGTAGTAGTGCCAGCAATGTAGTAATGTTGGCATCGTGTTTGTACGTGTGTATGTGTGAGTGGATGCTTCATGGCTGCTGCGACCTTCTTTTTTTGCCAAGAGTTACAGTGTGAATTGTTGAAACTTTTTAATGGACTTTCTACTTTATATATTTTAGAGATACAAGGTGTCTATCATCCGGATGGGTCCGGCGTTTACATGGTAGATAATACCGGTGCGTACTCCAAGGAATATGAGAGGAACGCGGGCCATTAGATAGTAGTCGATTGTTTACGCCTTTCTTGGGAAAGTTTTCAAAGAGCAACCAACAATGAGGCACAACTGCCTTTAGAAAATATTGAAATGCGCATGTAAATTCTAATATTAATAAAATTTGATATATAACGAGAACTTATTTATTGTTTAACAAAACCACAGCGTTCTTTCTGCATCGCGCTTTGTACAAATAAATAGAGACTTTTTAAATTCAGCAATTCTTTTTATTGATTACATATTAATATTGAATGAGAATAAGCAAATATGCAATAATGTGCACCAATGTATGAGTATAGTAGAGCAGCAGGAGTACATTTGAATGGGAAATTGTTAAACGCACGCCATTGGAAAGATTACGCTGTGCACATATTCCATGCATTAGTTTCACCAATGAATTGAGTTAGTTAGATAGTGTTGCATTAGGGTGGCTTGTGCAAGTGTTTAACGGTAAATGACTTCAATTCAAGTAGTTCATGCTGCCAGATGGTGCCTCGGGTTTTTTCGCCGGATTTGTACGATGACTGGCGCCGTATTGTAGCACATCTGCATTGTGAGGGTGTGTTGGTGAGTCGTGAGTCGTGAGGGATGTGCGAAACCGAAAAATAAATAAAAGCAAAAGTTAAATTAGACTCAAATACATTGCACAGAGAAAGTTAGTACATAAATGGCAACACAATTTGCATTTCAGCTACTAGCTTTACTAGTTTAGCGCGTAAGGAATTCGCTAATGCGGTACCGTTTTTTTAACCGGAAAGTTTATGTTCATTTAAATAAAGCTCATCTAAGACAGAAAAAATCACAGAAAATCTTTAGCTGCTACAAAAGTGCGAAACATGAGAATAAGAAGCAAGCGAGGCAAGAGCGCAAAGCAAATGCAAATGAAAATGAACGCAATTACCGCACGGCTAGGTAAACAATTAAAAACTTTCTACCATCAGCATAACAAAATTAAAATGAAGCCGCTTAATTAAATGAAACTGTGTGACGTGCTGCCATCAAGTCATCGCCGAAGTTGTCTCCACGCACGCGCTTCAAGCTGTCTAGTCATCTCGAAGGCGCTTGTCAAGCCATTAAATGAAGCTGGTGCACACAATTGACGCACGCTTGACCGTTAGGCGTACAAGTTGTTAGTTATGGCAAAAAGTTGATTTTGATGGAAGTTTGTTGTGCTGCAGCCTTTTCTCCAGCAACAGCAGCAGCAGCAGCAGCTGCGACTGTCAAAGCTACTCCTTGTCAAAACTTTGTGTGAATGCCTTCAACCACGTGCTGGTGAGAGAGCTCGTGCTTGTAGCCGCCATGGTAACGTTTGCCATTCCTCTTTCGCCATCACCAGCACTTTCGACGACGGCAGCGCTGCCGTTGACTATGCTGCCACCTGCATCTATGGACGTTGAGGTCTTGCCTGTTAACTTACCCATGGGTGCGTGATGTAGACGTGAACCTTTCGTCTTGAAGGGCTTCCGGCGCAGATCCAAGCTGGATGATTCGCGCGTATCGATTTGCATAGTATCATCGTTGTCGCTGATTTGAGTCTTCAAAACTTTCTTCAAATTAATTATCTGCAAATAAAACAACAAAACGCGTGTACAGTAAGTGTGGGCAGCAAGATAAATTCGAGCGATTCGATTTGTATTTGCATGAATGGTTGCATAATTTACATAAACTTAAGGCAAATAAAAAGATTTGTTAATAATTTCGTGAAATAAGAATGTTTTGGCATGGGCGCGCACACTTACCTCCTGTTCGATGTGGTCCTTGTTCTTCAGACCGCGCGCCTTCTCCGAGTTGGCGCGTGTTATCTGCATGTCAATACAATTTGAGATGGCGTCGCACGACTCCACCCACTGCGTTAGCGTTTGGGCGATCTTGGAGGTATAGCCAGGTGGTATGTCACGACCTTGAGCGAAATCGATTTCAAGAAATCGGTTGTTTTGGAAAAGTTTGCCGTGTATAATGTCTGTGCGGAAAAGCAATTTCGTGAATACAATAAAGGTATTATAATAATATAATTCTTTTATATCAGGTGACAAGGCAAAATCTCCAAAATTTTTAGTAAACATATTCTATTTATCTTATGCTAATTAATTGTAAGTAACACGTAGGGTCCACAATGATCATAGCGAGTAATCCTGTTTTCAATATTGAAACAGCTGGAACTTATGGTATATCTCCAACTAACGGTATAAAAACTACCTAGTTCTTAAGACAGCATGGAGATTTTTATCGAATATGTTGTCTTGTTTCATACTGTTATTAGTGTCTTTGCTTCTTTTCTGTTGATTGGTGAGAGCCCGTCACCCTTTCTCAGATTTACCCGCGTTCATTTATGGATAGCGCTGACGATGGTTTAGGCAAATTGAATGGCATCACCTGACGGTTGGTGTATCTTAAGGAAATTGATGAATAAGCAACCTAGATTTCTCTCATATATGATACACCGATAGCTGATATGGGCTATGACAATGCGATTTTTATAAAAATGTATGCAGTTTTCGGCATAATGAAGAATTTTGATGCCATAGTGGCATAATTTGGGCTTGAAGTTGATCCTAGATTTAGTGCAAATTATTGAAATATTTAATTTTATAGAAAATAATTGGAATTTGACAATTTGTTTGGGCTACTTAAGTGATTCTCCTTGAATGTGGAGTACGTCCGGTTCAGGTCTGCGCGATTTACAGCTGTTGAAGAAAACTATTGCCTACATTTCGGCGCATTTGTAAAAATGTTGGCAATGAAAACCGGAAGGATAACCACAAATTTCTTTTCAAATAAAAAATTCGCGGCAAAAGCTGATTTCGTATGGTGTTTACTGTTGCTAAAGGCATACAATAACGGAAAATGTTAGTTAGCAAATATTTAGACATTTCAGGATTATTTAGAGCGTGAGTTTTGTAGAGAATTTTTTTATTTAACAGAATGTGTACGTAATTTATAACATTAAAGAAAAGGGAATTAGTTTTCGTTAAGGAAACAAAGTTATTTTTTACATATATAACTGTAATATTATTGAAATAAATAAAATTGAATTTGAAATTATTACTTTCAAAACAAGAAAAATATGTATATACTCTTAAAAATATGTAAATATATTACTATATATATCTGCACTTTAAACTGGGTGTGTGAAGTGTTAAAAATCGTGAAGTAAAATTTTTTTGAGCTTTTTGACCACATTTGTGCTCCAACATTAAGACCAACTAAAGTTCCTCCTCTCCAGCGACATAAAGTCTGCGAAAACAGCAAGCAGGAAATGCGATAAACAGATGGTAAGCAATGGGCAGCTTAAGCTCAATTGTAGCGCTTAATTTTGGCAACGTAAAACAAATGAATTCAGCGACAAAAACTATGTGTCAAGTCATAAAACGAACAGTTCAACAGTATTGCGAAATAAATGAACAAAAACAACAGCTGCTACGAAACGGCTTTGTTTTTTTCGCCAACACAGCTGGAGATGGGAAAGGACTTAATACGCGAAGAATAAACAAATATATTTTTTCCGTTAGCTGTAGCTTTCAACACACTGTGCAGCTTGCTCTCCGAGCAACAACATGCGATAAGTTACGCCCCTGCCAACCTTGATTCCTGACTTCGCTGTGCGCACGAACAAGTCAAGCGGCTTTAAGTATTAACGTATTAGTAGCGACGGCTTAGAAAATTGCGAGCGTCAAACGATTCTGCAAGTCCTTAACGCCGTCCAAGTGACTTATTTGCTAAATTTGGTAACGAATTTATGCAAGAATGAACGGCATAACGGTATTATGTGTAACAATTGCATGTTTTTGCGAGTTTGCATTGTTTTGCGAGTATTAAAGCTTTCGCCGTTTTAGCACGACTTCGTTTATTTACATAAAAAGCAAATAATTCAGAACTGAAATATGTATGTGCCAGCGCTGGCCTTGAAAAGTCAAATAAATATGTATGTGTGTATGTGTAGAAAAATAGTAGGTTAATCTCTCGCTGCTTTAGAGTTGGAGGGGGGGTCCAGCAGCAGGCTAATTCTGACAGTTTTTTTATCGGTGTATATTTTAGACAAATAATTATGTGAAATAAAAATTCTGCTTTAAAAAGCTGCTTTAAGTTTTTCGAAAATTGTAAATTGCTCTCGAAAACACATGATCTCAAAGCCCGACAAATTTGACAATCAGCTGCAATGACACGCGACAAACGAGACTGAAGTGACAGTGGCTGGCTGACAAACCCGCACACACCAAACCCATATATACTTTTCAAAGGACATCATCAAGGGAAAGCAGTAAGAAATTTCAATTTTCTAAATTACTTGCAGATTTGCTTAAACAACGCGACATAACCGTTGATATTGGGTAGGAGGAGCCAAATGAGGCGATTGAAAAGTAATTGAGAAAAACTGTAATCGAAATTTTTGGTGCGTTGTGTGCAGGCGTAGAAAAAATTTGTTGAGAAGTGTTATTTGCACTTAATACACAAACTTTCTGCGTGCACAGTAGCAAAGAAGTGTGTAGTGTTCGACCGTAGGGACAAGTGCCAAGCGTAAGCAGGAAAACAGCAGGCGAAGAAAAGCGTAGCAAAACTACTTAAAGTTAAGAGCGCGTGAATGCCTCATTGAGCAAAGCTGTAAAGCAAACTATATAAAATGTGCAAATTTCTCAAATATGCGCATTTAAAAATTAACAAAAAATTATGCAATGAAAAGGCGGCGATTTCTTTTGCAACTTGTTGTTGTACTAATGAAATTGCCAGCGTTGTCAACATGATTGAATGATTTTTAATTAAAAGTGCAGCGCAAAAAAATGTGTGGAAACCGTTTTGATTGCCGGCAACTTAACGCTCAATTAACTATTAATTTGAAGGAGCGAACTGTTTCACAGCTGCCAGGTTTGCGTAGTATAACTGTTCGGCGTTTAGTTTGTGCATTTGTATTATGGTGGTGTAACTAATTCGAAGGAAGTGTTGAAGTAGAAAAGGGTCAAATATTTATTTAATAGCGATTGTGTGGGATTCGTGAGATCTTTGCTAAAATGTTGGCATACTAATACGATTTGCATGAAATTCTGCTGTTGTGAGGGCTAGCGTTGTGTTCAGCGGCCTCAGCTTGGTTCAAGTGAGAATTTTAGCGTTCTGCAAGCGCGTATTTTCACTTGATGGAAGTATGTTACTCTGTAATTGACTAAATCCAAAATTTCATCTTGAATCCAAATGGAATATATCGGAAAGCGAAAACGAAGCGGTCTATATATATGTATGTATACTTTACAGAGCGTTTTCATTAATGAGCCCTACTCGAAGCGTTCACATGTCAACCGTTGAGGCATGTTCAAAGCAAAATGAACTGTATTAGAATAGAACGACATAAGTGACAGCTTTGCACTGGGTAATTTGCCATAAAAGCAATAAAAAATGCTTGCATGTGTATAGAAATAGACGGATTTTTTTCTATACATATGAAAGTGTGAGTAAGCAAAATCTATGTATTTACATGAGCCAGCGGGAAACGCTTAACAGAATTGGAACCTTAAGAAATGTATGTAGTGAGCAATATGTTGCAAGTATAAGTAAATTCTATATATATTCCAATTGTAGCATAAGTGCATTTTACCCGACAATAATTCCTTGTGTTTTGTTAAAGAAGTATAAACAAATATTGTTATATTTAACGCTTAAACATTTCCTACAGGTGCTTAAGCCAATTGCCGGCGGGACTCACTGCAAGATACATATGTGTATATGTGTATATATAAGCAACTGTGCATGCATATGACTTATAATCAATCAAACTTGACGTACTTTCATGTAAAACCGCACAACAACTTTGTAGATCACGTATGTATGTAGATATGTATGTACATATATGGAAGCATACATACAACATCTTCAAAAAAATATAAATCACAATAATTTGTTCGCGGCATATATTACATATACATATGTATGTATGTACACCAGGGTTGCTAGGTTTTTAATACAAACATTTTTAATTAATAATTTATTTTTTATTTTTTAATTCCGATTAAAAATTGCCATTAAAATTTAGATGATTTTAATTTTTCAATCCAAGTCGTTTGGAATTAAGAATTGAAAATATTATTTTTTGCTTGAATGACCGCGAAAAAATATTAATTCTTAAACAATTTTTTATTAAATTCTTAATTATATGCTTGAGCTTAACATTTTGCTTGTTTATTTTCAATCCGGTAGTTGGGATTTAAAATAAAAAATAAATTTATAAGCCGGTTTTTGAGATTATAAATTTTTTTTATAATTTTTTAATCCGGTATGCGAGATACAATTTTTTTTAATAGCGTATGGATTACAAAATAAAAAAAAATTTAATGCAAATATTTTTTTAATGCATATTTTGCAACTCTATTGTACACACATATATCATGTAAACATATTTTATGCAATAACGAGGAAATTCAGACTCTTTGCATATCTTTAGGGGCAAACGCAGTATGCATGTAGTGGGCAATGACAGCTCATGTGCTTCCTGTCAACACAAGCAACACAAAGTACGAAGAAATCAGCACGAGCAAATGTGTGGGCAAACGCGTCCATTCACACACACACACACACATATAGACTATATACTGTATTATGTGGTTAATGCGTTAGTGTATTTCCGCTTTGATGGATGCCTAATGTGCACGTGTGAAAATCATATGCGCATGCATGACTATGCCAATACAACAACACAGATGCGCATATCAATGACGTTCCGCTAGTTGGTTGCAAGCGAATTGAGTTGCACAAACGACAAATACTTGTTGATATTGTATTTATTAAGCAGAAGGGGTAAGCGTATTGCAGGTGATCAACAATATTATGTAATGTAATGACAATCGGCATTACTCGTGAGTAGTATGGAAATGTACATGTGTATGCACGATTTTGAGCACATTAATATGCTTTCGAGTTAAAGGAGTCTTTGCGTCATTGGTGTTGTTGCATTACCATTTACAACAATCTAAAGCACAA